AGCAGGCTTCCCGGGCAATCTGATTGCCAGACAAGCCGCCCCCATGTTGTCTGGCCAGCTTGATTGTGCTTGGCCAGGAAACCGGCTTCCAAGCCAATCAACATCGAGCCGGCTTCCAGTAATGACCCGCCTCCCAGCTTCCTGATTGGCCGAGAAGCCGGCTTGATGCTGATTGGCTGGAAAGCCATCTTCCCAGCCAATCAACATTGGGCTGGCTGTTCGGGAAGGCGGGTCATTACTCGCTGCCCAGCTTCCTGATCGCACTGGAAGCCGGCTCCATTTTCCCCTTCCTCTGACCGGAAGTTCTGGTATCGGGGAAGGTATCAGAGCATTTGGGCGAGTACGAGTAGAAGCCGGCTTGATGCTGATTGGCTGGAAAGCCATCTTCCCAGCCAATCAACATTGAGCTGGCTGTTTTCCCCTTCCTCTGACCGGAAGTTCTGGTATCGGGGAAGGTATCAGAGCATTTGGGCGAGTACGAGTAGAAGCCGGCTTGATGCTGATTGGCTGGAAAGCCATCTTCCCAGCCAATCAACATTGAGCATCTGCCCAGCTTCCTGATCGCACTGGAAGCCGGCTCCATTTTCCCCTTCCTCTGACCGGAAGTTCTGGTATCGGGGAAGGTATCAGAGCATTTGGGCGAGTACGAGTACTCGCCCAAATACTCGGTATCGGCACTGATGCATCCCTAGTAAATGGCATTTACCTAATATGGTTATGTGGCTATATAAGATAAACTACATCAGCACAAGCATCCCGCTTCTTCATGTACATGTAGCTGTGGGGCTGGCAATGCCCATCTCATAGCGGATTAGATGGAAGTGCCCATGGCACTTTCTTGTTTGGAGGAGCTCAGGTTTGGACTGGGTTCAGTCCCCAGAATCAAACAGAAGGTGGTGGCAAAAGAGACAACAATAATAACTTGCTTGAGTTTCTAACCCTGCTCATTCTATCCAAAACAAGCTGTGCTTTAACGCATACACAGCGGTACCACGTTGTGATGAAAGGCTGTAAAGGGTATGTAACTGTTTTGCTGGAGTTTTGCCTTAGCTTTAAACCTAAAAGGCTTGAGTTCAAAGCCGCATTCATATAGTGAAATGTATTCATTTCACGTTATTACACATTTATCAGGAGCAGAACACTGAACAAAGACTCCATCTATTGAAGACACATTATGAAGGGTGCAGCATTATTCTTTTCTGCTTCTCAGAATATGAGAAAACTTGTAATATGAGACCATTTAAGCTACAAAGATTTCCATCTAACAGCGTTGTGGATTCGAATACCCTTTTAACAGCCGCTGGCCCCTATCTATGGTCTACATTGATGAGTAAATGAGGAGAGAACTATGAAGATTACATATCTACATCTAGATTCAGATGGTGATTTATAATTCACCAAAGATAATTTCAGGATTGAAAGTTATTTTGGTGCAAATTGAAGGCATAGAATAATGACATCATTATATTTTAAACCTTATTGTTTTTAATGGAATGATCGCAGATGGCACCAACTCCAAGCAGTCAAACTGGCCCTAACTTTTCTTTCTGCCTTTGAGTTGACTTAACGTGCTGCTTTCTGAATTATTGGCATATCTCTTCTGACTGGACCTACAATGTATGTTTGGTGCTCTCACTAAGGTATTCTTGCACTTATAGGCTAAGGCTAGCTTCACCCCTAACCATTGAGGTACGTTGCGTTATCGCACATGCATCAATGTTTGCTTCTTTAGAGAGCCCATTCAAAATCAACCGCCTAGCAGTTTGACCTGCACTATTTTGGTAGCACACTGCAGTGCATGTCAGCAAGGTGCATTGGGGTGCTATTCATAATAAATGGCACTGCATTGCACCATTGCTGTGGTAAGGCATGGGATTGCACATGTTCCCGCAATGCATTAATGTGAACGGTGCCTAAAGCTGGCCATATACAGCTCAAATTTCAGCCACAATTGGAGCAGTGGTTGGCCCTGCTGGCCCCTCTTGGCTCATCAAGCTTGGACTGAAAAATTGAAGGAGCTGGGTGGCAAATTGGTGGCCAAGCTGTGACAGAAGTCACTATGGTATTCAAGCATCCAAAGCTGTAGTTGCTACTTGGGTATTCGAACAGCCGAGCTCCCACGGCAGCTTAAATTCAACAATAGTCAGCAGAGGGAGATTCCCCCATCCACACTATTGAGTGTGGGTGGGGAAATTAAGAATTTTTGTTTCATTCAGTCCACAGGCTGAACAAGAAAAACCTATACGTGTATGACCAACTTTATTGTAGGTTTTCTCTCCCTTCCATCACATCACATCTTTATTTAAAAAAGAAATCACTTGTCACACAGGCTGAACTTTAGACATGTCTGCCTTTGTTCATCTCCATTACCTGGAGGGAACAGATATTTTCTCTACATGCTGAAAATGTTCTTACCTGAAAGAAGAAAACTAATGTAGCTATCTCAGCACTGGTAAGCTACAATATATTTCAGTTTTGTTTCTGGATACCCTTGGGGGCAGGGCTCAACATTTTAAGTCCTAAGCTACTAGCCAGGCCTGAAAAGTTACTCCCCACCAGTTGCCCCACCTAACCCCTACCCTGCCCCGGACTTAACTCCGCCAGGTCAGCGGTGTGACGCAGAGTAACGGTAGTGTCCCATCCCTAGTCCCGCCGGTGAGGCAACATTGCTGACATTCCACTCGCCCCCCCGCAATTTTCACTCGCCAATTGGAGGGGGCGAGTGGAAATTTTAAGGACTGCTTGGGGGTATATATAAAGTTCTTTTTTTTAAATAAGGATGTGATGCGGTAGATTGTTGAGAAAACCTATAGTAAAGCTGGCCATACACATTTGGGATGAATCTCCATCTGCTGGCTATTGTTGTATTCAAGCAGTAGTCAGAGCACATGTGCTTGAATACCCAAATGGTGTAATATATATATATATATATAAGTATATTACATTCGTGTCCTTGGGTAATCTTCTCCACAAGTAATGACACAGTAGGTGACATTCAGTGCAACAGTATTGTGAGCCCAGGTTGAGGTGATGATGCACCTCCAGGGGTCGGGTCAGTGACAGCATGGGCTCTCATGAATTGGAATAATTGATGCTGGCTGGTATTCCAGGTCCCTCTTGTTGATACTTTCAAGAAACATATAATGTTATTTGGCTTTGATCAAAGTTGTATATTTGTGTACAAAATGTTTTCCCTTTAAGCCACACTCCTCTGATGTAATGCATCCCTGCCCAAGTCCTGCTCTGTTTTTCATTCAGGAATGTTATGATGGCACATTGGTAGGATTTTGACCCACCACTGTTGGCTTTCTTTTATCCAGCAAAAAGAAGTGCACGCCAAGATTTCTTCCACTCTGTGCTTAAGCCACCTTGTAGACAAAGGGAGGTTAGGGCAGCAATACTTGATGGGAGATCACAATTCATATGAGGTAGGCATTACACCAGGATAGATGACCTTGTATTGCAATTGCCTCTAGTAGTACTGTAGACTAAAGAGCACCTTGTAGAATACATGTTTCCATCATTGCGGCTATTTGTTAAAGGAGAACTATGGGGTCCAAGTTTATCTTCATTTTTGGATTCCTTAGGCTAAAGGAGTAAATATTGTAATTTACTCCTTTAATCTAAAATGCTCCCTAAGCCTGCCTGTAATTGCTTCTTTAAGATGATGGACGGGGCTAAGCGCCACAATGAGGAGAGATCACAACAATTCTGTTGAGATCCTACCCACTGATCTCTCGTCACTTTGACAGGAATCCCAAACATGAAAAAGTTATTTCTGTGGGGGGTGCAACCCGCTAAAATGATGGCAGATAGCAAAGAAGCTAATGCTATCTGCTGGCTTTTTTTTTAGTATTCTGGCAGCTGCTGCCATCAGAATAAAAAAACAACAAAAAAACATAGGAATGAATAGCTAGCTTGCTATTGGCTATTTCAGTTTGCAATAGCCAATGCCAAGCTGGCGAGTGCACCCACCCTCTGCTGCTGTCAATTAGCAGAGGAGGAGCTGATGGAGAACTTCAGGTCCACCTCTGCTGATTGACAGCAGCAGTGGGCAGGTGCAATAGCTTGTCTGCTATTGGCTATTGCAAATTGAATTAGCATATAAAAACCTAGCTATTCATTCCTATGCTGGGTTTTTTTGTTTTCTCTGACTGACAGCAGCCGCCGGCCCAATGTAAAAAAAAACCAAAAAAACAGATAGGTTTACTCTACTAGATAAAGCAGAGTAAACCTTTCCAGGAGTTTTTTTGTTTTCTCTGACTGACAGCAGCCGCCGGCCCAATGTAAAAAAACAAAACAAAAAAAAAACAGATAGGTTTACTCTACTAGATAAAGCAGAGTAAACCTTTCCAGGAGAAAATGTTTCTCTCCCGGGTGTCCAGGAGCTGCTATCTCAAAATTGATGGCGCTTCTTGTGAGCTACTGCGCATCCACAGATATATGGGCATGCGCAGCAGCTCTGTCTCCACAGCTCTCTCCCTGCCTCCACGTCCCTGTCCTCTATGCAAGACCATATATGGGCAAGACCATATATGGTGAATTATGTCACTGGGGATGTCTGCCGGGTTGTTTCCAAAGAGAAACAAGCTGACAAGCACCTGAGTAGTAGTTGCTATGATGTCAGCGGCTGCTAGCATTGTAGTTACAAGTGACACAGTGAGACAAAGCAGGGAGAGAGAGGGAAAAGGGCAGGGAGAGAGCAGGGAAAGAACGGGGAGACTGAGTCAGCGGTTCTTACCATGACTTGCCGCTGCCAGTCTTCTCACTTGGGACTCCAGCTCCCACATGTCAGTGTGCGCACTCCGGCCACCCAAACAGGTGAGAAAGATGGACTTGGACTTTTCCATGCAAAAACAAAATTTGCAACATTTTTGCACCTAGCTAGTGTAAGACTGACATTTTGTATCTGTACACTTTTGTTAAATTTCTCAAAGTGTTTGTGTTTCCCTAAACTTCTGCAAAAGAGCTAATACTGTGTGTTTATTCTGCCAATCCAGGACAGCACAATTACCTGTGTGCTGGAAGGAACGACTGCATTGTTGATAAAATCAGAAGAAAGAATTGCCCTTCGTGTCGGCTCAGGAAGTGCTGCCAAGCTGGTATGGTCCTGGGAGGTAAGGAATGTTGGCTTTGTTTAATTTAGAACATTTTAAGCCGTGTTCCCCCCCATGTAGTGTCATGTTCTTGGCTACCTGGTAAGGCAGAATCATTTTGATAAAGCACTCTCGGTTTGGTGTTTATGGCATGTCATAAGTGCTGGTATTTCTGAGCAGTGGTGGATTATAATAAGGGCAGAACGTGTAACTGCCCAAGGCCTCGGCATACCCCATGAGGATAGTAAAAAAAAAGTCTGCTCTTCAGTGTTTTTTATAGCCAGTTAGTGTCTGCTCTGCAAGTCTTTGGGCTTTTTTTTCAGAAGATGATTAGCAGAATTTGGATTCATCTCAATAGTGATTTTCTTTAAGGTGGACCAGAACTCAAAAAGTTAAGTTTTGCTATGGTATAGGAAACATCTAGAAATGTTATTGTGCCTAAGTAGTACTCTGAAAATGTATCTGAGGGTACCTACAGCCTCGTAGTTGTACAGTATATCTGCATTGTGAGATCTAAGACACTACTAGTCTCTGACTGCTAGTCTCAGTACATTTGGAGTGAGAATTGGTGATGTCACTATTGTGCTGCTTGCTGGAGGGGAATCTGCATTGCATGCATCTCCCTGCTTCTTTCAATCTGTGGATCTGTGGCTTCCTGAATGTTCCACCACCAGTAATCAGATCCCCTATCATCAGGGGGCAGCTCTGACATGAGGAGGCAGAGCACTGCCTCTACCAAGATGGCCACCTCGAAGTGCAGAACAAGGTATGGTAAGTCAGTAATGGGGGAAATATCACCTGCATGGAGACCATTGGCAAGGCAAACTTTAACTTTTTGCCAATTAGGGTCATGAAAAAAAGCACATATAAGACCTGTTTGCAGACAACTCTGTCTGGTACCTGTTACCCGCAACAACCATTGATCACAGATCCCTGTGAACATTATCTCCAACCTGCTGCCAGTTCTCTTGTGATTGTGTTCAGTGATTGATCACTCACAGTTGCACAATGCTGCAAGAAGGCTTGATCAATTGCAGCTAATCGTAGGGCACTCACAGCAAATGGATAAAAGCAGCTTGGAATCCTAGGCCACGGATATCTGCTTTCGTTTGGGGGTGAATTTGTGATCATGTGACTAAGATCATCTCTAAATCAACTGTAGGGATGGGTCCTAATCATTACCGATGGATAAGTGATGCTCAGAGTAATATTTAACATTCCAATATATAGGAGAAATCTGAATTGTTGAGTTTCTTTTTTTTATGCCTTTTTTAGTTTATAAATATTGAAGG